CCGCCGGGGGAGCCCGGCCTCGGGGTGCCGGGGTGGGGGGCGGCCTGCCCCTCCCCGCCGAGGCAGAGCCCAGGAGCCGGGCGGGGAACGCCTACCTGGATGCAGTTGATGACGAAGGCGTGACCGCGGAACACCCTCTGCAGCGCTCCGGAGCGGGCGTCGAAGGCGCGCGCGCGGGCGTCCCCGCTGCCCGTGAACACTGTGGACACAGGGCGCCGCTGGGCCTCCCGCCCGAGAGCCGCCGCCTTCTCCCGGACGCCGCGGGGCCGGGGGCGGGGGGCGCGGCGGGGCAGGCCCGGAAGTGACCGGGACCCATCGGCCCGCCTCACCGGGAGGTCTTAAGGTTCAAATGGGAACTAGCAGGAGCTCCTTGCAAGGAAGGAGGCGGCACCTTCATTCTCCTGCTACGTGCCTGGGAACTCAGGGGCCTGCCCCCCTCCCGGTGCTCTGCAGGACTGCGGCTGCTGAACCTGCCCTGGGCTGCAGGGCCTGCCTGAGCGGCCCTCTCCGGGCCTTCTGTCCCTCCTGAGTACCACCTCGGCCCAGGTCCCCTCTCTCAGACCGTTTGGTGAAAGCCTTTGGTGAGGCCTGGCTTCCCTGCTCTAAAGCCCCTGCCTTGGGGTTGGGGGGAAGGTCATCCACCTCCCATCATCCGAGCTGCCTACTGTAATGCCATCCTTCCCCTCCTCAGTAATGAACTTTGCTCCGAACAGAGCCTAGACCCTCTGGCGTTCGCTAGAGCACCCCTGCCCAACCTCTTCTGGGGAAGCCCCGGGATTCGGCCTTCCTTGCGCCTTTTCCTACATTAGAACTTAGTTCAAGAGTTCTCAGACTCCAGTGAGCCCCCGAATCACCTGGAGGGTGGTTAAGGCAGATTGCTGAGCCCACCTGAGTTTCTGTCTCAGGAGGTCTGGGGTGGGGTCTGAGAGCCCACATGTCTAACCAGTTCTAGATGCCGCTGCTGCCACTCAGGGACCGCTCCGAGAACAGGGACCGCGCCGAGAACAGGGCCAGCACCGAGAACAGGGACCGCGTGGAGAGCGGCGACAGCGCCGAGAACAGGGACCGCACCGAGAACAGCGACCGCACCGAGAACAGGGACGGCGCGGAGAACAGGGACTGCTCCGAGAACAGCGACCCCGCCGAGAACAGGGACCTCGACGAGAACGGCGGCCGCGTCGAGAACAGGGACCGCGCGGACAACAGGGACCCCGCGGAGAACAGCGACCCCGCCGAGAACAGGGACCGCGC